TTATTATTATTATTATTATTATTATTATTATTATTATTATTATTATTATTATTATAACTACACTGTACCATCTAATTTGACTGCTAATTCCCTCAGTTAAAAGCCTGCCTGACAACAGCCTAACGTGTGCATGGAGAGAGTGACTCCTCCGTCTGCACCGCTCCGCTCCTCCTGTCCAGGCATTTTTCTCTGAGGAGGCAGCGAGCATCCGTCACGTGACACCGCGTTAGCCAATGGCAGCAAAGGAACTTAACTTTGGCCATAAGGGAAGGGCAGTAAAGAGCGATCAGAGCCAAGGAGTTTCACTCTGTGTTCGTTAATGATCATCGGCGCACATACAGACTACAGTTGGACACACCGGCTCCAAAAGCAGCAAAGGTTTAGACAGAGTCCACCTGGAGTTATCTTGGTCTTTTTTTCCCCCTAAGCAGCCTATGCGAGGCTGCAGCAGCACACAGTACATTCAGTCTTTGGTTCAATTAGACAATCTTCTGTGACTGGCGGCTGTCTGTAGCTCAGATGCTGGGAGACAAGGCTCACGGTAAGACCATATCCTGCTCTGCATGTTCTACACCGGCTGCCATCAACTTGATGGAGTGTGTTCCTGTTCGGTTACTGTCCCAGTTCAGAACTCAATACACCAGCCTGACAGGCTAATATAGGAGCAACGACTCCTATTCTTTAATTAAAATTGCTCATATCGTTTTTTATATATATTATAGCAATTTTTTTCACACACAAAGTGGAAAATAATTCAAAAATGAAATTAACAAAGTATTGGAATTTTCAGAATTAAGGATCTGACTGGGTAGAATATAATTGTTAAAACAATTATGAAAAATGTTTCTAAAATAAAAATAGCTAAACAATAAGATAGATAGATAGATAGATAGATAGATAGATAGATAGATAGATAGATAGATAGATAGATAGATAGATAGATAGATATTGTAGTAACATGATGAATTATAATGACGGAAATGATCTTTTGTCCTATTCTAGAATAGCATCAAAAAAGTAAATTAATTATCAAAATGCACATGACAAACTTAGTAAGTAATGTGTAAAGAAGGGATGTAGTAAAATGCATATTAATAGCTATGTTTGGATAGAAAGAATAGAATTAAATAATAAAAAAAACACTTAAGAATATTGCATATAAAGTTCTGAGCCTCACTTTATAATTAATACTACTACTACCAATAACAACGACAACAATAATAGTAATAATAATAATAGCAATAATAATGATAGTAATAATGAGAGGAAGTCTACTGGTTTATCTTAATAATTTCTCAAACCGTGCCACTGAAGCCAAGCAGCATCTCTCTTTGAAGCTCCTCTTGTCCGCCATGTAGAGCTCGTGCTCTCCGGTACCGACTGTTGGTCCACCAGCTTAGCTGCTCTTATTTAGTCCCATTTCTGCTGCAATTTATTTCACTTAGCTGGCTTAGCTTGGCCTATTTTTGTTGTTTTTTTTTTTTTTTACTTATTTTTATTTTTTAATCTGTCATATTGTCTTTGGTGTGTACCGTTAACACACGGCTGTTCCCGCTGCGCTGGCCCGGATACCGAGCGGGAGACACAGCCTGGCTAAATCTGAGACGTATACAGGCGGAAACTTGTGGGAAAAAAGATGTCTTGTTTGAGCCGCTATGTTAAATTACGTGAAAAGAATGAATGTTTTCTAAAATGTAACGTCTTAATTTAGCCCCAGTGATAAACTATATGTTTCTTGAAAATTTGTAGAACCGTCATAATAGCTAAAAATCTGTTTGAGAACAAAGAACAATTTGCAGGCTATATTAAATAACTGCGTAGGATCTGCATCCATAGGGTCGAAAAATATCCATCGAAATGATCATGTTTACAGTCTGCTTGCATTATATAAAATATTATTAGTAATAGAAAATAGATTAGTCTTCCTAAAAATTAAATAAATAGCGCAACATTTAAAAGCACAGTAGGTGTGCATGAAGTTCGAAAAAATAATATTACAACCAATTTAAATTATGAATTAAGTGTCTTGATTCATGGTATTTTATTTTTTTTTTTACTTGTGTTAAAAATTATAAGCCGAATATTGAAAGCCAACCTACATCCTTGAATTAGGTGGAAAAAAAATATAGCAAAAAATAACGCTACAGTTTTGTGTGCTTGCGGTAATCCAGGCGTGACTTTGAAGGTGATGGAATACACATACGATGATGACCTGGAAGAGCTGTGTCCTGTGTGCGGAGACAAAGTGTCTGGATACCACTACGGTCTGCTCACCTGCGAAAGCTGCAAGGTAGGACAGCTCTACAGCCGCGGCCCGGTCCGCACTGAGCTGGGTCTAAATGGTCGTTCAGATTCACTGACGACTAACATAATGAAACATGACCCCCCTCGGTCTCCTTTACACCCTAAATACATTTTCTTTAAACTGCTACTTCGTCTTGTTTATTAATTAACCAATTTTGCTTTAAAGTAAACGAAATAAATAAATAAATAAATAAATAAATAAATAAATAAATAAATAAAAATAAAAACGGCTGGAACGCTTAATATGTGGAGCTGTTTTTTGACCGCAGCTGACATGCTGGTCGGGCCCAGCGCTTCATTTTTTTTTCTGCCGTCTCGTCTTTTCATTCTCGTGTTCCGTCTGTGTTCAGGGCTTCTTCAAGCGGACGGTGCAGAACAACAAGAGGTACACATGTGCGGAAAACCAGGAGTGTAAGATAGACAAGACCCAGCGGAAGAGGTGTCCGTTCTGCCGCTTCCAAAAATGCCTCAACGTCGGGATGCGCCTTGAGGGTATGTTCATATTTACTGCCTTCAATAATAATAATAATAATAATAATAATAATAATAATAATAATAATAATAATAATAATAATAATAATAATAGAAAAATAAATTAATAATAATAATAATAATAATAATAATAATAATAATAATAATAATAATAATAATACATTTAAAAAGAAAAGAAAATTATGTTCCTATTCTTACTATGTATTATTAGAGTAATACAATTACAACAATAACTCCGGTATAGTGCCATCGTCCAGTTTTGTGTTATTTTGAATTAATTTTAGCTATGTGGTCTTGTGACCTAAATTATTTCCTTCTTGTTGCCTGGTGGCTTTAGTTATATCCTTCACACACACACATACACACCCACACACATATTGGATGAGATTAATTCCCAGACAGCAGTCCAAAGGAAAGCACCTGCTTCCGTAGCAGAAAAAAAAAACAAAAAAAACCAAAAAAAAAAAAAACACACACACACATTCTTTTACTTACTGATAAAACTCTGGAGACTCCCCAGGGAAGAAGGAGTAGAGCTGCTCACAGACTCTAAGGGGATTCTTCTTATCCCTAAAAGGGAAGCGAGGAAGACCATCTTGTCTGTCGTTTACTCCATGAGAATAATTCTAGATGTAGCTGAAACAAGAGCTTTCAGTTAGCTTGTTCTTGTTGGCTCTAGCTGAGCTTTAAAAGCTCTTCTTTTACAAAAACTGTGTGTCAGAAAAATGGCTTTACCTGGAACTCCATTTTCACCTATTGTGTGTTGTGTGATAGCTGTGCGTGCAGATCGCATGCGTGGGGGGAGGAACAAGTTTGGCCCCATGTACAAGAGAGACAGGGCCTTGAAGCAGCAGAAAAAGGCTTTGATACGATCCAACGGGTTCAAGCTGGAGACCTCGGCCCCCCCACCAGCCTCCCCTCTGCAGACTGACTACAGCTTTACTGGCCCCTTACATGCTCTGCCCACCATCTCTAAAAGTCTTCTGCCGTCCACCCCGAGCTCGATCACCTCTACAGACTACGAGGCCAACCTCTATGGACCTACATCACTGGGCATGGCCATGCAGTCCCATGTGCCCCTGACTCCCCAGTACCAGTACACGGCATTCCCCAACAGGGCAATTAAAGCTGAGTGCCCAGACTACACCAGCTCCCCTGAGTCCATCACAGGATACCCCTACCCAGAGGTCTACCCTTCAGCCTCTCCACAGCCACCCAGCCTGCCACCCCTGGTGCTGGAGCTGCTCCGCTGCGACCCAGACGAGTTGGTGGTGCAGAACAAGATTGTGGCTCACCTGCAGCAGGAGCAGAGCGGCAGGGGCCGGATTGACAAGCCCAGCACCTTCAGCCTGATGTGCCGCATGGCGGATCAGACCCTCTTCTCCATCGTGGAATGGGCTCGGAGTTGCATCTTCTTCAAGGAGTTGAGGGTGAGTCTTCAGCATTTCACAAACATACTTGCACTCAGTTAAAACAGGGAAGACTGTATAAGGTTGATCTTTACAAATACGCAAAGATGTCACAATGCAGATTTGACTTGTTTTCAAAAAAGTCTTTGGTCCAGTTTGACATTTTCATTTTTTTTCTGTTGACTTCTTCAAGTTTGTGTTTGTTGGCAAGAAGTGGTGGTGGTTACCGCAGTGGTACTGTGTCTACATTGGAAAATACTTTATAATTTAGTGTGCTATTATGCAGTTTGATTATTTTTGTGTTTTGTACATTTTATTTAATTTAGGATTTTCAAATCCATAGTTTTTCCCTAATGGACCATTCACTATAAATCACATCCAACACAGCTTTTGAAAAAGCCTCCCGACAACAGCTAATATGAACAAACATTTGGCAATGCATAATTAAAAAGGACACATCAATACTTATTTCTACTCAGGAGACGACACGTCAAATTTTTGTAAAATTTCAATTAACTTTTTCAATATTACAATTTAATTCCATTAAAACTGAGAACATCATGGTCACATTAGATTGGCTTTTCTAAAAAGAAATGAAATTGAGTGAGAGTTGGTAGTGATGTGAAGGGTTTTGTGGTGAGGAAGATGTGCTCTAACTTTATAAAATTACATTTTGATAATTGGTAAAAAAAAAAAAAAAAAAAAAAAAAAAATTAAAAAATTAGTGAACACACAAAAAACATAATTAGTATTTAGTGCCAATCATAGGGATGCAGTAAAATAACAACACTGTCCACTATAACCCTGATCACTGAAACTTTTGCTCCATGTTCAGACTAGTCAGCATTACGTTTGCCATTTCAGTCCTTAAAGGCAAATTGCACCAACTATGAGGAGCAAATAGCTTGTGTTGTAGGAGAATGTTGGAATATTTTCATCCTTGTGAGGATGGTGAGCGAAGTAGCATCCACAGTTTATCACAGCTCATACATCCCTTAAAGCAGCTGAATTTCTTTTCCAGATCTGTCGTTTCTACATTTATGACTGTCTAATTGAAATATGCCACCTATCAGTTTACCTTGCGTGAGTCATGATGTGGTCTTTCCAGTGTAGACAATCAGCAGTTATTGCTCTGGTCAGATGTCCTCAGCTAAATAAATGGTCGAACTACCGGTAGGCCTTGATGCGACTTGGTGAAGCTCTGTGCTATCTCAGCAACAAGTGGTCTCATTTCAGGGACATTCAGAGAATATTTGCTGTATGATTTGATTGAATCTATATGCTCTTCTGAATATACAGTAAATTAGATTTTTGTTTCAGTTGTAAAGTGCATTGTTGATGAGATTGTTGTGAATTGAAACTATATAAATTAACAAAATTTAAAGGAACGTTCTGCTTTTCTGCTACTTCAAAGTTATGTTGCGTTTTCCTTTCAATGCAGGATACTTGCTTGAAACAAATTATTGTGTACTCCTAGATGCATTGAACTAAATGTTGAAGAGCTGGTTGATTATATTTTAGAAACAGAAAAGTAAAGTTTAGGTCAAAGAGGAATATTTAGGAAGAAAAATGATTACTTTATGAAACTCCCTCCATGATTGTGGATTGTCTTCATTAATTTGAGTTTTATTTCTTAGACAGTAATCAAAAGAGGAAAACCCAAGGCTGTTTTCTTCCTTACACCCCATCCACTAACCCTGCTTTACCAAATGTTTCTGTGGTTAAGGGGGGGAGGTGGCTTCCCAGCTCATCAAAAATTCAGTATTTTCAAGGTGCACACCAAGAAATGAAGGGATAGAAGTAGTGCCTACAGAGACATTGAATGTACATATTTGGTTGTATTCAATGTCATAATAATCACTCTTTAATTTTTTTTTGGTATGAGTCACAATAATCATTAATGAACACAAGAAATGCAAAGATTACATATTACTTGATTTAAAGTAATTTGCAACCACAATCGCCATTATAATGTAATGTTATAATGATGCATACTAATGTGCTTCATTTACCATAAATGTATTTTTGGTAAGTAAGACCATTATTATTATTATTATTATTATTATTATTATTATTATTATTATTATTATTATTATTATTATTATTATTATTATTATTATTATTATTATATTTTGCACTTCATCTAAAAAATAAGAGTATTCAATTCAGAAGAAGCTGCTTTAGCATTGATCTGATCAGGTCTTTTTATGCCTCTTAATGACGTTTGTCCTGCGTCTGTCAACTCTTCTGTATTATTACAGACAAATTGCCGCAATTATGCAGCTGTGAGTGTAGCAATGCCGTTCTTTTTATCCATATTTACTACTGACACCGTTAGCAAAGAAATGCACTGTAAAACATTCACTGAAATTCTAAATATCACTATCTGGCAGGAGAAGCCCTTCACAAGCATTAGTGCCAAAATTAGAGATCTCGGTCAGGAGTGAATTTTGTGCTGTCCTTGGACAAATAAACACAAAAGTCACAAATTCCTGCTAAATCTGAATTAGCTGATTGTCTTTAAATTAATAGTTCATCTTTAATGTTGATGGCTGTGTGAAGAGTGTGTAAGCAAGATATTATCTTACACAACAGCCACCACTAATCAATTTAATAGATTTGATTATATATCTGACAGATTAGGCAAAACCACCAGAGCAGGGACAAGAAAGGAGAATTATCCTCATTTAGAAGAGACACAAATCTAACATAGGGCTGCAGTTAACCATTATTTTAGCAATCAAGTATTATATTGATTATTCTGACGATTAGTCAATAAATTAGATAAAAAAACAAATTGGCACATTCTGTGAATATTTCATTTAACCACTTAAACTCATTTTATAAAATAGAACTTTATAGGACAATGAAAAAACAACAACAACAACAACAACAACTGTTTCATTTTTTTTTAAATTAGGAAAATAAACTTTATAGTGCATGAAATGCAATAACAGTATTCCTGTAGTGAACTCTTGATTATTTGTGGTAAAGAATGCAGCTATTAAAATCCTTCTAGCATCAACATTTAAAAAGCTGAACCTGTTTTGCTCGACTTAGCATCAATACAGTGTAGACCTGATCTGGTGATTTTAAAATTTTTTTTTATTAATAATTGGATTGGAAAAGGTGCTTAATTTAATGTGCAGAATTTGAACAATTATCTGCTAATACTACTACTTAATGAGTTCAGATAAAATGTATCAACAGATAAAGAAGGATTTTTTATAGTAAATGCAATATATATATATATATATATATATATATATATATATATATATATATATATATATATATATATATATATATATATATATATATATATATATATAAAATACAGCTTTGGCTTATTATCTGCTCTGAGAGTGTTGTTCTTTCAGTAAAGGGCATGTTTTTGAATCTGTATATATTCCATTACTAACTTAGCTGACAGTTAGTTCCTGTTCATTGTTAAAAATCAAAATGAGTCTCAGATTTAGACTGAAGGGCAATCCCTTCAGACCAAGTAAATGCAGACATTTCAAAAACATTTTAAGATTGATCTTCTGATTAAACCCGACTCTGATGAGGAGGTAAGTTAAACTTCAAATAAATAAATAAATAAATAAATAAATAAATAAATAAATAAATAAATAAAGTTCAGTTTAAATTGTTAGGGTGTAAAGCGAAGGAGAAGTCGTTTCAGTCAAGTTCAACATGGACAGAGAAGTCAACACAAAGACTGGCTATCATGATCTGAGGGTCTTTGTGTTTTGGTTATCAAGTGTTTGGATTGTCTTTGGGTTGCAATTGTAATTGTTATTGATCATCTTCTATTAGCTCCTTAGTTTACTCCCTCATCTGGCTTCTCTCCATTCTCCTGATTATTCTCACCAGGTTCCCATATTGTTGTTTCACCTTCCAAGCAGTTCATAGTCACTCTGCTTGACTGTGTCTTTACCAGTCTATTGTTATTGTCACCAGAAATAATCATTGACCTTCCAACTGTCATCTTTCCATAGCTGGGCCTTCAACAACACAACTGCTGTGTTTCCATCACAAATGTACTCACAGCTTTGTCAATATTCTGCTAATGTCGAAAAAACACAATTTAGCATTTGCAGTGTTTCCATTAAATAAGAAACACCATTAAAATGACCTGTGAATAAGTTTGTTAACATGATAAGCCATTAATAACATGCCGTGCCATCATCTTCCAGCCACTTCCTGTCATCTTTGTCTTTTCTTCACTTAGTAACGTCTGGTTGTTGATCACGACTTGTGTAATGCCAACAAAGTGTTTTGCAGTTTTGAAAAATACACTAATTTTGATACAACTGAAAAACCACCTTATCCTAGTGCGAAAACCTTTTAGCGGAATGCTTGAGGCTTTTCTAAACTGCCATGTTTCCATTAAGCAAATTTAACTTTTTAATTTCAATTTGTGCAATTTTACAGCCAATGGAAACACAGCTGCTGTGTGTGTCCATAACAGCTGGAGTGTGCCTGCACCAATACACACACACACACACTCACACATGCACACATACCCAAACACGCACACAGCAGTTGCCCAGGTCCTGTCTTGGAGAGAAAATGTGTACATGTTCACTTGAATTAATGATGTAAAATGATGCATTCATGTTCAACATGTAGGAACACCATTGCTCACGCTGCAGACTGTATTACAAACCTTGAAAGATTTAATCTGTCTGCAGAATCAAAATCACTGCGATACCATTCAGTTATTATAATTCTTAAAGTGTGTTTTTTTAATTTTGAAATGTTGCTTTTTTTGTTTACTTTGGAGTCAGAAACTGGAGTCATTTGTCAGAACCCCTGTTTGATTCAGGACACGTGGATCACTTGCATCCCTGTCTACTCCTATGTGGAGATTACAAAGCTTCTCTTTAAAAAACAAGCATCTAACAAATCAAGCGAACAAAAAAAAATAATAAATGCATTGAAATACTGTCACAGTGTGTATTGGTAAAATACCTGAAACAACAAACAGAAAAACAGGTAATGGTATGGGGATATAGATATGCACACAGTAAACGTCAGCTGCCCAAAGGTACATACAGGTCTCCACGTGATACATCATGTTTTGGTCAGCATCTACAGATCTGGGGTATTTTCCACATATGGACGATAAAAGTATTCTGTGAGCAGTCTGTCAGCAAACTGCAGCGCTGCATGTACACCAAGCATTCAACACAGGATCATCACACACACACACACGCACGCACGCACGCACGCACGCACGCACGCACGCACGCACGCACGCACGCACGCACGCACGCACGCACGCACGCAAGGCTGAGAGAAGGTTAGAATGAAGAAGTCATTTTTTAAAACTTGAAGCTATTTAATTATTTAGCTTTGCTTGTTTTCTTCATCTAATATTAGGGAGATCACATGATTATTACTCTTAAATTTTAGTTTATTTATTGCTTGTGTGTTTTTTTAAATAATAGATGTTGAAAGGAAATGTGCGCCAAATGTTTAAATGTGTCCTTTTTTCTGAACATGTAAGCAAACAGGATTTGAACTCTTGAGGGAAAAGCAGTGTGCAAAATTATTTAATTTTGCTTCTTTTTTTAATCTCTGTTCCACTCTTTTGGAATAACCACATCTAGTTTCTATAGCAACTATACCATACAAATCAGCTAGGTCTCTTATTGATGCTGGCAGCGACATACGTAAAACCGTCATTATTCAGTTTCTCAACAGTTTTCACCTGATAATAAATACATACATAAAATAATGAATTATTCAATCCAGATATCCAGAATGGAGTAAAACATTGATGGAAGTGTGATTTTCTCAGTACTCTCACAGGGATTATAGTGTTTAGTTGCAACTTTTGTGTGTTCCTTGTCTCAGAAACAAAGTTCACATTGTGTTGGGGCTGATAGTTGTTGCACCTTCTGATAGTTGTTGCACAAGGTATCTTTGTTGTGAATGTGTTGAAGGGATATCTTCCTGCATGCTAAAAATCAGGGAAAGAAACACCGTGGCTAATCAGAAACCAGTATAATGTTTTATCAAATGTACTCTCCTGTGTATTTACTGTACTGTAATTTCACATTTCCTGTCCCAAGCTACTGAAGCATGATGCTGAGTTTTGACATATTGCTTTGTAAGTATGAGTCTCTTTAATCTAAGGCCTAAGTTGTCTGCTGTTGCCTGATTTGTGCTCCATTGTTGTGTTTGCAGTGTATCTGCAGTGATTATCTCTGGAAGAAAGATTCTGGTGCTACTAAATCAATCACAGTCGTCTTTATCTGGTTTATGATAAAATACTATTATAATAATTATACTAATGATACCTTCATGCCCTCAGCGTGACTTTGACACAAGAGATTAGATCCTGTGTATGTTCTGCCATGGACAACAAAGGATATTACTAAGAGCAGGAGAATCTATAATTGTACACAGGTGACAAATAAAAAAGTTAAGGTTAAATTGATAGATTTAGTTGTTTAATGATCTGAGGTTTGATGGAACTGGAACCTTCCAATAAAATACTATTCCTCACTGCAGATATATTAAGCACTTAGGACCTATAATCTTGTTTTTTTTTCTTTTTGCAGTGATAGCCACACTTTCCTTGTTTGTGTATTATCTTTAAATTTAGAAATGTTTTGTAGATTAAAAAAATGAGTAAAAGTTTTGCTCACTCGGAACCTTCTTTTAAACCCCAGTAAGGCGTGTCTGTTGAGAGCCAGGCTGCTTTTATGCACAGTTGATGGTCAAAACTGTGAGAATAAAGCTGTGTCTATTTTACCAAGAAGAGCCTGTTGAAATGACTTTTTTCCCTGGGCTGGATAATTACATTCCATGCAGATGATAACGGGGGAATGTGAGCTCTCACTGCAGCTTTACTTCGTGCTTGCCTACATTGTTAAATAGTTTGCAAAATGGAAACTACTTTTTGCTGCAGTTCCTCAGTGGTGCTGTTTGTCTGTCCTTACTGACTGGCCTTAGGATCACCTGCTCCACCAGAATGATGTCTGAGGAGATAAGGTTGGTTGTTTATTACACAGGTTACCGGACTTAGCTTTATGTACTTACCCTTTAATGACACACTGCATTTTTACTATAACACATAGATTTTGTTTGCATAACTCAATATATGATGAAACATCACAACTCTCTTGCAGCATTGCACTCACCAGTACAGAAACATCAACAGAGACAAGATGAGAGATAAAAGAGAATGGGTACCTGGGCCCATCACTATAGCAACATTTTACTGGATGATAAATTATCCCAGAAGTTATTGTGGTAAAAAATAATATTGTTATTTTGAAACTCTCTGCAAGTAACATAATGGTAATGGCATAATAATGCAAGACCACATTCTCAAAGATAAATAAACTTTAAATTATAATGATCATTTAACATTGGAACTGGAAGACATTTTAAATATCCAGAATAAATAAATAAAATAACAGGATGAACAAATAAAATTAATTATAAAGTCTCTGCAAACAAAAATATCCTTCAAAAAAAGGTCTAGTTGAAACCAAAACATCAGACTGCAGATATTTATCATCCAGTTTTTGGTAGAAAGAGAAAAACAATAAATCACTCAAAGGGAGATTATTTAGCTCATTTTAATATATATATATTATCTATACTGTGTATCTATTGTGTATATTTATGCAAATTATGAGTGTTTTTTATAGATATAACATGATTCTTTAAATTTATTTATATTTTATAATTGAACCCTCCCAAACTCCAAACAGATAAAACCTATGAAACAAACAAGAGCAATAACGTCGAGCCTTGTAGTCCGAACCGCAGTTGAGCATTTTAACAGTTGAAGGCTGAAAGCTGAGTATCGCTGAGTTGAATCTGCTTTTGATTATACAGTACTGTTGGCAGCACTTCAAAAAAAGTGGATGGGAGTGTGTGAGTAGTCTTTGGTGATATTTGGAGTGCTGTTCTTGCTGCAGCCCTGAAACACCTCCTGGGCAGAGGGTAGGAACACCTCAGTGACCCCTTCAGCTCCACTCACTGTCTCTGCAGGGCTAGCTTTTTAGCCATGATGTGGCTGGCTGCAGCATATCAACACAACCTCCTCCACTTCTCTGCAGAATTATGTGAGCATGCTGTTCATTTAAGCTCTTTTAGAAAATGCAGTCTGCTGCAGAATCACATTTAAGACAAAATGCATTTTAAAGTCTTAAAGGAACATCTTGTTCTAAAAGTAAGAATGAAAACGTCTGATCATTCTGACAAACATTAGTATTTGTCATATTTATTTTTGCAGGCAGAAATTAGTTTGAAGGGTATTTTCATGTAATATCAGCTTCTTTTAGCTTTACATTGTATTATAATGTTATTCCCTCAGCAAAAACTCACCTGGAGTGTTGCTTTGATTCTCCTGTGGCAACCGTTTGGAGGTGCCTTAACGCTTGTTGTCACCGTGCGCTGCCTTTTCCACACAGATCCTCCTTGCAGCTGCAGCTTCCAAGGTTCCACCTCACAGAGTACCCTTCCCCCATGACGCCAACAATTAGCTCCTCCAGCCTAGCCAGCAGCAATTAGCAAATGCCATGCATTTGCTGAACTCATCATAGGGACGTCTTCTCAAATCAATGCTCCTAAGAAGAGCTAGAAACAGCAAAATGGAGGAGTTTTTTTTTTTTTTTTTTTTTTTCTGCGGTCTTGGGGGGGGCAGTGGCAGAAAGAGCAGGAGCTTCTTAAAGAGACATAAATCAGACATATTTTCCTGAGAAAGTGTTTTATAAAATATTGTGTGTCTAAATAGTAAATCATGCCACTTGATCGGTAGGCTATTTGATATGTATTTGAATCCAGTTTAACATGGATCAAACATGGAGATTCAGAAAAACAACATTTCCTGTGGGGAACAAAATGAAACCCTTCTGAACCCTGCTTCTTGTATGTTTGAGGGTTTTTTTCCAAGTATGTCTTTGGCTGCTGCCTCCAACTCCTTTTGGAGAGGAAGCACAGGAGGTCACCAAGACCTCTTGCTTCCTTAACCCCTTCCTTTTATCACCGCACATGCAGACCCCCACCACTTCACCGGCCTAGATGAGTGCAGCACAGAAGATTGGACCGTCTTCACTGCCACTGATATATAGTTTCATTCAGATGAACAGTAATTCTGTCAGCTTGTGTCAGATAAATGTGTGTCTGGGCCTATTAGCAGCTGCGGCTGCAGAATTACTGTCTGCTGTGTCCTTCACTTTACTGTCAATACTGCGGTGGGGTAAGGTTAATCTACGAACACACACTCATCCCCCCCAAACAGAACAGAACAGATGTGACTGTTCAAGGTGGGACTGTTAGGGTTAGCAGCTTGAAGAGGTCAAAGATGTGCTCGTAAATACACAACATGGGACAACACACACAAGTACCACCTCTATTTCACTGCTTTATGATCGCCTGCCTCTGTGGAAGTTTTCCCAGATTTTTACAGCCGCATGTTGAAGTGTTTTCTGTAATGACAGAAAATAAAGGAAAATAACTTCACCATAAAGTTAGGATTCTTTATGGGATTTTATAGAATAGGATTTAAAAGAGAGACATACTGAGTTGCTTAAAATGATGAAGCCACAGTCTCTTATGATGTTTGCCCCCCCCTCTGCTCTATTTTCTGAAGGTGGGAGATCAAATGAAGCTGCTTCACAACTGCTGGTCGGAACTCCTGGTCCTGGATCACATTTTCAGACAAGTTCAACATGGAAAGGAAGACAGTATCCTGCTGGTGACTGGCCAGGAGGTAACACTCCCTCGCTCAACTTCCCACCAGCACATAAACCGTCTGCCTCACTTACGAAGCTTTAACAGCACTTCAGTGACAACTGCACTGCAGCAGCAGCAGCAGCAGCATTATACCACATGCTTGATTTAACTAAAAGAAAAGTTTCTAAGCATTTTTTATGTTGTTTTTGTTGTTGTTTGCTTGTTTATTGAATTTTTGTTATTTGTTCTTTTATTCAGAACAAAAAGAGGTAGATCAATACCTCTTCTTATTAGTCTGTAGTGTTTGTTCTGTATACACTAATAGGTGCAGCAATTATACAATTTTGCAGATGCTAATAATACTGTGGAATATTAGTGTTCCAAATGGAGATTGGGACACAAAATCTCTGTTTGTAGTTTTAAAAAGTAGTTTAAAAAGTTTCTAATAATTTAGGATTTAACTTGTAATGATGCCAAGAAAAAATAAGTTTTAGGTATTACATGGACAGAAATGATACAGTTTGCTCTAGTTATACAGAGAATCAACTCACTTTACCATTATGAACCATTCACACACCAGTACCATGTATTGGTGGGAAGCTTGTTTTGCCCAAGTGCACTTTGTCATCTGACGGACAAGCTGGAATCATACTTGCAAACTGACGGTTGTCTTTCCACTGACAGCCATAGAAAACTGTTAAATAACTAGGAATTACAGTATAGATGGAACCCTGAAGATATCAAAATTCACAATAAGCACTTAGGATCTTATTAGCTAAAGTTGCGTTGCTGTATCTAACTAAGTGATGCATTCCCTAAGTAGTTGAAAGTATATTTTTTATCTATTTATTTTTGGCATTGATACATTGTGTGAAATAACCAAACAACTGATCTGCAGCTGCGTATTGCTTCTGCCTGAAAAAGGAACACAGTTCACACCAGAACTAGAAGTAAGGAAGTTTTAACCAGTGACATGGTGGGACGTTAAAGGGATACTCACCCTGTACAGCTTCTTCTTCCACCAGTTGTTAAACAAAAGGACTGTAATTAGAACTGTCTGAGAATTCAGTCTGAAGCTGCTTTCAGATTTGTCAGCCACATCAACCACAATGTAAAGTCTTCAGAACAATATCTAAAAACAGCAATGAAGCATAAAAGTTCATCTAAAATTGTATGATGTACATCATTTACATCTGACCTACGGCCTGTTTTACAGATTCTCTCCTGTTGTTTTCAGCCTGATTCTCACATTTTGCCTATTTTCCTACTGACTCTGTAATTGACTTTATATGAATTCATCCATAAATTAAGCTGTTAATTATATTGCTAGAAACATACTTTTCCACAGTTTTCTTTCTTCTTCACAACTAGTCAAATTATAATGAATTAATAAACAATGTAATGGTCAAGAATGTTGTTTCTGTGCACACTATATATTCATCAGATTCCATTTGATGGTCCATTGACATCAACTGTCATAGTTGTATGACACACAGCAGATACTGAATCAATTTAACTATAATTACTGTTCTCGAGTAGAAATTACCAAAATATTAGAATCATATTTTCATTGCATGCTTTCTTGATCAGTGAAAATTATACAAAGATAACTTGAGTATGTTTCATGAGTATATTTAAAAATATTTCCGTAAAAAAAAAAATAAAAATCTAAAATTCTCAGTACTGTTGAAATTGTTTACATGCAACATATCCTGTACAAAACATAAAAACTACACAAATGCATTTCAGTTATGGAAAAACAATTATTGATTTACTATAAAAACACAAAAGGTTCCAGCATGAACCTCTAAAGTTTTTCTAAATAGCAGTTTAGATAAAGCCATATAAATATCATAATCAATGAATTGCATGATACATTAAAATTTGCATAATAATTTCCATTCTGACACTGAATATTTTTTGAAGGGCAGTTTTCTTTACAGAGACTTCATAATCCATTTTATCCATTATTTTGGTTCTAAGTAAATTTTATTTCCGTTTTGTTTATAGTTTTTCATTGTTATGTTTTATTTTGGATATTTAAAATATCTTCTATGTACAGAGCTTGATATTCTTTACTGGATTACAGTTTATTAGACTTTATGAGAGTAAAATCTAATATATTGATATGCCATTATGAATTTATTACATGAAAATGTCTCAAAACAACAATATTATTGTTTATTGCAATAATTACTGGGACATTTTATCGTACAGCCAAATTTGTTTCGTTGACAAGCCTACTTTAGATTTCGCTTGTAAGGGCTTTTCTATAGATGAGTCCCAACAAAAGCTCAGGTGCACAAAAACATGAAAATGAGCTAATAACAAAAAAAATTCCTTTCTCCATATTCTTGCAGATTGAAATGTCCTCAATTTTGTCACAAGGAGAGACAACTCTTTCCAGTCTGGTCCAGAGAGGTCAGGAGCTTGCAGCGAGGCTGCGGGTGCTGCAGGTGGACCGCAGGGAGATGGCCTGTCTCAAGTTCCTCCTTCTGTTCAACCCCAGTAAGTCACCCTCTAGATCACCTTTCTTCACTGGAATAAGCATAGGTCATGTTCAGCAAGAGATACATCATAATATTAGTTATGTGTGTCCTGATTATTGAAATGTGGTATTCATATTTATTGAGGATTTTCTTGTTCTGCATATTACTATAAAAGGCCTGTGTAGAGATGATGAATTCAAGAAAAATGCCTGATGCAAATCCGTCGAGTTCTTGGGTCGACATTGCCGTACAGATGCAGCATTTGAATAGCAACACTGACATCCTAATGAAAAAATGTCACAAATGCAGATAATCTGTGCTAAGTGTTTTCCAACATGGTCTCTCTCCCCACAATAAATTCACTTAATTAAATTTCTAAGCTTGACAAAAGCAAATATTAACAAAAGCAACCTTATCCATTGTCCACTAATGGCATTCAAAAGAAGAGTAATGGATGGGTCTATCATTTGATAGCAAGACTGACATTCATGTAGTGGCTTGTGCAGATGGAGAGAGCATAGATGTGGCTCGCCAGATTCCCAGAAGTGTTTCCTGTTCAGTGCTGGCAAAACAGGGAACAAAGAGCTTTTGAACAGGGAGAGCACTCGTTATACACAGAAAATATTTGCTGTCTTTGCCAGCAGCTTCTTTGCTCACGCTCTTGCTCTCCCTCATCCTCAGAGTCAGATTTGTTGGGGGTAATTTAATTGCCCTTAAGCAGTTTGAAAAGATGATTCAGAGCATGGATTCAAAACATTTAATTACTGTGTGAATGGATTCTCTGAGATGGGCTCAGCTGATGCTGAATGCTATTCAGCTGCAGGGCAAGGCTATTGTCTCACACACACACACACACACACACACACACACACACACACACACACACACACACACACACACACACACACACTGAGAAATTATATGCTTTTATGACATAAAATGCTTAACTGATTAAAGCTTAAACTGTTACTAGGATACCTGCATGGTCTGCATGCTGGCCCAAACTGTAACAATGTCACAGTTTAAACAGAATATTTATTTGAATTGGATTTGGTGAAGGTGGGTTTATCTTACTGGACTTTAAGTCAGACAAATACACACAAATTATATCGACCACAATGCTATCAAGCAGGGACACAGACATTTGGTGCACACAGATTTATATCTGTCTTCCTGCTTAATGTAAATACAGTAATTCTTACTTTTCTTACTGATAGTCCAATAAAAGTGATGTCTTAATCTCTGCCCATAGATTCTTGTAACTATTCTAATTGCCAATGTTTCTATTTATATAAAATTAACTGTCAAATCAATTTTAGATTAATTTGATTAATATAATACTTTGGTTGTCAATGTTAACACGTCAATGCAGGCAATTAATCTGAAAATTTTAACTCATTAATATTACATGTAGCAAATGAATCTGTTGGAGTGCAGCAAAAAGAGAGGCGTGTCCAAAGCACTATTCCTGTAATAAGCAAAATTGGGTGTATATTTATATTTCAACTCTCAAATTTAGGCATAGTGATTAATCAGAGTGCTCCAGTATGATTAATCAAATTCAGTTTCTGAATTGATTGACAGCACTATATGATACTATTCATCTCTCAGAACTTCCACTGAGTTCCATTTGTCCTCTGTGTCTCTACAGACGTAAAGCTGCTGGAGAACCAGGCCTTTGTTGAGGGTGTGCAGGAGCAGGTGAACGGGGCTCTGCTGGAGTACATCCTGTCCACCTATCCTCAGTTTCAGGAGAAGTTCAGCCAGGTGGTGGTCCAGCTGCCTGACCTGCGCTCCCTCAGCACACAGGCTGAGGACTACCTGTGCTTCAAGCACCTGAACGGAGAGGTGACCTGCAACAACCTGCTCATTGAGATGCTGCACGCTAAGAGAGCGTGTGTGTGAACAATGCACACACACACCAACGTTCTACCACTAAGTGTTACATTTCTGTGTGAGACAGCGTGTGTGTATGCATGTGTGCCTGTGTGTGAGGATGTGTGTGGGAATGAAAAATAAAAGGTGAAAAGGTTTCACACTGGGTCATCTTTGTTAGGGCTTTTCCTAATGTTGAAAACAAAAAGATGTTTCAGATGTTTGGAATTTAAAGGTTTTGAATGTTTCCATCTTCATATCCTGCACAGCTACTTTAACATGACCTTAAAACTGGATTTTCTACTCTTATTACAAACATCTGAAATTGGGCTTATGACACGTTAAACAACTTATTGTACATTCCACAGCTGAGCTGATGTCTTTTTGTGGCTTTGCAGTTACTTGTAAGTTCCCACTTCCTGATGCCTCTGAGGTTCAGCTGGGAACTCTTCTGCTAACTGGCTGGAGTTTTCCAGGCCCTTTTCACAACACATTTTGTTTCCTTCCTTCAGAAATCGCAGTTGCCTGCAACAATGTCTCCTATAAAGAAGCTTGTTCTGGGTGCGACACGGAACATAGATTATTTTATTTAAGTAAAAACAGACTTTATAATTATTGTTGTAAAAGATATAAAGCATCAAGGACTTCAGAGAGGTGCTGATCATTGTGACAATCAAAAATCTAAATGTCACACACCTCACTCCTGTGAGCAGTTTTAAGCTTTATAGAATCTTGTCCCTTTTTAAGGCCTGGAAGCTGTAAATTAAATATTTGCCAAAGTAGAAAAAAAAAACAAAACAAAAAACACAACTGAAGATGGACTGTGTGATGCTTGTGTCCAATTTTTGAACATACTTTAAAATAAGATGACACACTGGTCTTGTCAGACCAGGAAGGAATGCACTTAATATCTTCAACTCTACATGCAGCCTAAATGTAAAAGCATCATCATGTTCTGTAGAGTTGAGTTTTCATCTATTTATTTAAAACATTATATATCCAAAACTTTTCTTATTGTAAAACATTCCTATGAACTGAACATCAAAACGCAGACAAAAGTGAAAAAGTGAGAAACAGAACGAGGAAAAAACTGGACACTAATTAAAATAAAACTAATTTGAAGGAAATTAAGAAAACAGTAATGTTTGGTCAGATATAAAAACTATGTGCAAGTCAAGAACATAAAGAAGAGGGCAAAGTTATGAGCAAATATGAGGAGACAGAAGATAAAAAAGGCAGCAGTTTTAAAGATGCGAACAGTAAAGACAGGTTGTGTAAAGGGGCATCCTTCAGCTTTTCCTGAAAGCACAGATGGGTTGGGGGGGAGGGGACTTCTTATTTACACAGTTTATTAACTGAGTCCTGAAAGCAATTGAACCTCAGAAATGATGATGTTTCATATACACTCAGTTTTCAACACACCAAAGCAAAGATGGACTCTTCTGTGTGAACATTGACTAAATCTGGCTTTCTGTTTGCTTTACAGCAAAGAAACAAATTAAAAAGACTAAACAGCCATGCCTCAGGGTGACCTCTGACCTTACCCACATTTACTGCTCTCCTAAGCATCTTTACTTCTTATTCTGAGATAAAGAAAAAAGAAAAGGATGACTTCACAGAAGAAGTACAGCGTCTGTTACATTACAAACTTTAGAAATGTTAAAACTTTAATGAGATTTTACACACAGACACTGAAATGTTCTGTTATTTTTACAGAGTGTCTGTACATCTGTGAACAGCACATTTGTAGTTTCATAGATCCTCAAGTAGATTTAGATCTGGGCTTTGACTGGGTCCAGATCTAAATCTGGGCCCAGTCACATGACAGCCACATGGCAGTCCTGTAATCTTCACCATTCCACTGCAGCTCTGGCTGTGAGCTCAGCTGGGCTTCCTGCTGGAAGGAGAAGTTGAACTTCATTTGATCATGGTTTGTGTCTCCAGCAGGTTTTTCATGAGCTCCATCCATCTTCCAAAAAACTCCACCTTATCTTTCCCTGCTGAAGAAAAGCATCCACATCATGATGCTGCTGCCACCATTGTTTTTGCAAGACATTGCACATTGTATTGTAATCTTGTGATGACGTGTATACTATACCAGTATGTCACTAGTTCTTCCAAATTTAGCCCGTTTTTGTCAGCAGGTGGCATATGATGAGCTCATCATGACAATGTTATAAGTTTTTTTTTGTAAGCCAATCTCTCATTAATTTTTCTATGTGGTTGGAGGAATAGTTTGCATTGACTCATCGAAACAAACAGAATAAAAAATGACTCCTGTATGACAGAAGACTTAGCAGGAACACATCCCCATGTTAACCTGACTTCCATCAGCTGGTGCTCACTGGTTTATCACAGCAATGTGTGGCCATCTGTCCTGTTGCACTACTTTACCGATTGACAAAGGGGTTTTATGGTTTGTAGAATGATTTGATGATCCAGTTTTCATCTGGGATTTTTATTCTGCCTTGAAGGATGCAGTCAGGTAGCTGAGGGGAAGCTAGTTAGTCTCCAAAATTTGCACAACTTCAGTCTTTTCAAAACGAGGAAATAAGTGAAAGAAAACTGCAGATTTTAGCGCTGTGACCATTACTCATTAAATGCACAATTTGCACAGTTTGGATTTAAGTTCCAGCACCATCACTGGAACTCAGCGTCTCAGCTGCAAACTGAAGTTAAACAGCAAGTAAACAGTGAAGCTGCACTTGTGAGGCCACAAACAACCACGACCTTCCCTTCCCAAAAACTCTCCTCTGTAAGTGGAACTTTGTTAAACAACAACACTTGTGTTTTGTCCCACACTGGTCTCCTAAGTTGTGTTAAAAAAGGAAAGATAAAAAAAAAAAAAAAAACATTTAAAAGCACTCCAATCAAATCGACAGTGACAATATTTTCTGCTCCCGTCTGTCACCAGAGTCAGTGAAAACAAAGACACACGGTGGTGTTTGTATAATTGTGCAGCTCAACTTTCTTACTGTTGCCATGTCAGATTAGTCCTTGTTTGCCATTTCAAGGTATTGTAGACAATCATTCCGTCTGCCTTAATTCAGTGACTGCCTGAACACACACACACACACACACACAAACACACAAACACACACACACGCACCTTGGATTTCCAGTGGAGACAGCCGCCATCACTCTGTACAGTATATTTATGTTGTGAAGTGAATATCTACTACAATATGAGGACACATTCGACACAAAAAAATATCTGCTTTATGTTGAGGTCTAAGCGCTACTGTTGTGGAACTGATTCTCTTGGTATTGTTTTTGGTTCTCGCTTTGTTCTCCTTTTTTCTTGTGAATCCATCTTAAATTGAAATGTTTTTCTCTGAACAGAGAAATTGACCACATTTTTCTTTAGATATATTTTATTGTAATAGCAAAAAATCAATAAATTGAACAAAGAGTAAAGCTTGTGCTCTGTGTTCATTATTTTTTTGCAAACACGTCAAAGCTTCACATGGATACTTAGTAAGGCGTTTATTGGCTTGAGTCTGCAGGTCGGTTCACAGCAGCTCTGCACCACGTTTCACAGAAATTACAATAATTCTTTCAATTCAGTCTCTGACATCATGGGATTTTTAATTTGCAACACTGTAAAATGCTTAAATAGAGTCCATCCATCCATCCATCCATTTTCTTTACACCCTTGTCCCTTAGTGGGGTCAGGAGGGTTGCTGGTGCCTCTCCAGCTAACGTTCCGGGCGAGAGGCGGGGTCACCCTGGACAGGTCGCCAGTCTGTCTCAGGGCAACACAGAGACAGACAACCATGCACACACACACTCACACCTAGGGGCAATTTGGAGAGGCCAATTAACCTGACATGTTTTTGGACTGTGGGAGGAACTTAAATAGAGTCGTGGTAAAAAAAAAAAAAGCATATCTGCATGGATATCTAGTTTTTTTTTTTTTTTTTTTTTTTTTTTTTTTTTTTTTT